ACCGTGGCTGCGGTGTAGGCGCGATGACCCTTACCAGCCACCGTATCGTCTGCCGAAGTTGCCGGCGGCACATGCACGCTTTGTTGTTTACAACCAAAACTTTCTTGAAGCTAAAGCTGAAATAATGGTCAAAGGAGGAGACGGCAGGAGGACATTTATTATCCCTCAAAGAAGACAAAGTGGGAAGTACGGGCATCTTTTGGATATTTGAAGAATGCCGAGGGAGTTTATAGAAGACGGCTATCCTGTTTGCAGCACGTGCAGAAAAAGTGTCTGTGAAGGGCAGCAACGCTTCAAATCTCATGACACATCTGCGTGACCATCACCCACAACTCTGCAGTCAACGCAAGGCAAGCTAACGTTAGCGTTTTAGCTAAAATGCGTGATCTGAGGATTTGGGTTGAGGGACGATGCAACGAGTCGCTATATAAAGCAGCCGCAGCGCCGCTACCTGCATATAAACCGTGTCGCGGACACCGCCATGTTGAAATGACGCTATGCATTACGGGGCTCCCAGGGGCAGATAAGAGTTGGTCTCTCTCCGAGAATAATTATGAATTTAACAACGATTACTGCCTGATGACATTTTCCCAAATCTGCAAAGCTCACCGGAAGGACACAAACCGAGGACAATATTTTCCTGATATACGGTTTATTACTCAAGTAAGGGTAAAAAGTATCTGATTAGAAGGGTACTTGAGTACTGAGTATCATCAGATCTAATATTTTTAAATGATGACATCAAACAAACATGAAATAAGAAGTTATGGGCAAATATTGGTATTTTAAAGACTAAAAGGAAAAAATGTAAACAAATAAACAACATAATTACAAAATAACACATTTTAGGCAAAATTTAGACACAAACTGAGGACAATATTTCCTGACATACAGGGTTTATTTAATTGTGTGAAAATGTAGCACGTTTAAAAAAAATACCACGATAATACCGAAAACCGTGGTAATTTTGGTCATAATCAGTGTTGCCAACTCAGCGACTTTGTCACTGTTCCTAACGACTTTTTGACCCCCCTCAACGACTTTTTTTCCAAAAAGCGCCTAGCGACAAACTTAGCGACATTTCTCAGGACCCGTTGCTACTTTCTGTAGAACTTTCATGTAGATATTCCACACAGATTAGCAACAAAGAAACCGTTTGCACTCTGAACCGTTCTTCCGGGAGTGAGGAAAGAGAACGATAATCTGCGCATGTGCACGAGGACTGACCAATCATAAACCGTTTTCGGCCGGTCTGATTCGCTGAAGACAGAGTACAGCTGCAGAGCTGGAGACCGCCGATTTACGTCTGCTGCTTTCATATTGCTGCAGGCTCACGCTTCTACTAGAGACGGCGCAGGCGTCAACCTGCCATCTCTGGTTCTGCAGCCGTCAGACACTTTGGCTTTTCCTGCATTTGGCAAATACAGTCATCGGGAGTTTCAACTACCGTCCCGTTTACACACGCAGCTCTGTGGCTCATCTGAATTTCCTTCAGTGACACAGGGATGGTTATACTTTGAGACATCCGCTCCCTTTTGCTCGGAGCGCCGTTATTATCACGATGGAGAGAATACACAACAGAGAAGTTGAGAAACTACGAGGTGTAAAAAAACAGCTTTTTAGGAAAATGTCTGTGAGAATGAGAGCAGGAGGTCTGAGTTATATCCTACAACAGAACTGTTTGGATCACCACACCATATCTGTCTTAGTGCCACTTTATTGGTAGTTTTGGAATTTATTGTACATATCAAAGCAATTTGGGCCATTTTAATCATACTAATTAATAACTTTAACGTATAACATAGTTTTTATTTTCCTACCTTTTAGTCCTATTATATATATATATATATATATATATATATATATATATATATATATATATATATATATATATATATATATATATATATATATATATATATTAGATGCTATGGGGAAAACGAACGCTAATGTGGCGTGATGACATCATCAATATGTAAATTAGCATGTGACGTCATCTGGCGACATCTAGTGACTTTTGGGGGGAACTTCAGCTACTTTCAGTCAAAAACAGTTGGCAACACTGGTCACAATAACCGTGAGGTTAAATTTTCACACCGTGACAACCCTAATACAGACCATTTTAGATTAGGTTACATTTCCTTTATTCCGAGATTATGTAGTTTGTAGCACTCATTATAATGTTGTAGAAAATTTCTGGCCAATCCATGTGATCGGTATCGGTGATCAGCATTCTTTGATATCGGTATCGGTGATCGGCAGCAAAAAACCTGATCGGTGCATCCCTACTTTTCAGGGAACATGTTGAGAGCAGATGTGTGGGACACCGCAAAGAACCATAAGTTATGGCGTTGGGAGGCGGTTTGCCGTATTTTTCAGCATTAGGAACTTAGAAACGATGACTTTTAAGAGGCATCACTGCTGCTCATATTCTTTGCCCTCTATTGTGCATCACCAGCAACTCTTCCCAGTTTACAAATACTGAGTGTTTGGCGACGTCTGCTGATGTCATTTCCATCTAAAGCAGTGGTTCCCAAACTTATTTAGCCGCGCTCCCCCTTCTATGTCCCGACCATGTCGACGCACCCCCCCCCACGTTGGTCCAAAACTGTTTTTACCACTTGAGAAATCTCTCCAAACTGCAAAGGTTGGTGTCAAAACATGAACTTGAAATGGTTATCCATGCCTTTATCTCCTCCCGTCTAGATTACTTTAACACTTTTCACGTGTTTTAACAAAACAACCCTTGACCCCCTCCAGTTGGTCCAGAACTCTGCAGCGAGGCTCCTAACTGGAGCAAACAGAAGAGCTCACATCACTCCTATTCTAATGTCTCTGCACTGGTTACCCGTTAACTTTAGAACCCTGATTATAGCTTTCAATGCTCTACACCAGGGATTCCCAAAGTGTGGTGCGCGCACCCCTGGGGGTGCGCGAGCTGCCGCTAGGGGGTGCGCGAGGTGAAAAGTGTAATGGCTGCGGAGCTCAGAGAAGTCTGTCATGTGTCACCATTATTGTAGAAACTCATTTGTGGGTGGGCCAAAGAAAAAGTAAGTGGGCACTAAATGTAAGTGAAAACAAGTATATTTTTGCGCGCATGTCCTCCACATGTGCCCTAGCTTCATAATAACAATGCGCCGAGCTTCAGCACTCTGGCCTGCGCACGCCGACATGTTCCGTCGCGCGCGCGCGTGTCCTCCGCATGTGCCCCGGCTTCATAATAACAATGTGTCGAGCTTCAGCACTCTGGCCTGCGCACGCCGATATGTTCCGTATTTGATCATTTTTAACGGTGTTGGAGAAATCTGAAGGTGGTGAGTCATTCTGGCAGATTGTAATTAACACCCTGTCTCATGCAGGTGTTCTGACATTGTAAACCTCACACACAGAACATCGTGGATGTAACTAAATAACAAGAAATGATTCCCATTCAGGCTATTGACAGCGCGCTGAAGATCTGAAGTTCAGAGTGCGTCTGTCAGAGGTCAGACGTGTTCCGGCTGAACCACGGCTCACGGGTGCACAAGTGAGCACATCTGGGCTGGGCAGAAGTAATTTTACAACATTGGTTTAAATAGCGCCAATAACGAGACGCGGTGACTTGAGCGGCTGTGCCGCGCGCGTGCGCACACACACACGCACACAGATTCAATAAGCGCACACGCTGCTTTAACTCCGGTGCTGTCAGACTGAAGGCAGAAATGAGTGCTGCCTCCACAGTGATAAAAACTTTTAAGAGGTTATTTTTCATTCAAGGTCGAATTAAGATATTAGCTTCTGGGATGAGTCGGGTCCGCTACAGCCAGTGACTCCTCATGAACCTGACCACATCTCATGTTACTGCAGCATTTGTTATTCCAGTCCGCATGACAGCGGATCACAGATTCAGCCACACCATAAAACAGCAATAAGTCGGTCTGAGGAAAAAGTGAACATCATGGCTATATCTTTTCCCCTATTGACATTTGATTACGCACAAGTAGGTGATCAGCTCAGGTTTACGCAGAGCAGAAGGAAGGAGAGCGCTCTGGCCGCACAGGTTAAACGTTCCTACTTTAAGAAAACCGTTAAATTGCATTGTTCATGTGCTACCTGGGCACTCTAAATATTTATTTAAAATGAAATCAAAGGAAATTGTAATGGTATCGAATGTTTATTAATTACTATTTAAAAAAATGAAAGTGATGGGGAATTTTTTTTAACCCTGTCTGTTTAGCTTGACATCTGATGAGAGAGAGAGAGAGAGAGAGAGAGAGAGAGAGAGAGAGAGAGAGAGAGAGAGAGAGAGAGAGAGAGAGAGAAAGAGAGAGAGAGAAAGAGAGAGAGAGAAAGAGAGAGACATGCCCCGATGTGGGGGCGGGGGGGGGGGGGGGGGGGCGTCGACATGGTCGGGACATAGAAGGGGGTGCGCGGCTAAATAAGTTTGGGAACCACTGCTCTACACGGTCAAGCTCCTCCCTATATTAGTGAACTGTTAAAGCTTTATGCTCCAACCCGAGCCCTCGGGTCCACACACCAGAACCTTCTAGAAGTTCCAAAGACCAGCTATAAAAGTCGAGGTGATCGCTCCTTCCAGACTGTTGCACTCCAACTCTGGAATGATCTTCATTTATCCTCACGCAGCACTGACAGTCTGGATACTTTAAAAAAACAGCTAAAGACCCTTTTATTTAAAGCTGCTTTTACCTAAATCTTATTTTCTTATTTTTAACTCAAAATTTTCATCTTTCATCTGTTAATGAAAATTTATAATTTTATGACTTTTTTCTGATGTTAATCTATTTCTGTCTTGAGAGCATTTTGATTTTATGATGTTAATCCATTTATGATTTTATGACTTTGTTTTAATCTATGTGAAGCACTTTGTGATTCTACGTCTGTGATAAGTGCTATATAAATAACATTTACTTACTATTATGTAAAGTAGAACACTGTAATCACTTGTCTTGTGTAATTTTTATGTTGCGATTATGGCTCAAAGATTAGAAAACCAACAACTGTCACATAAAATTTGAAAATTTCAAAAGCGCAGTATAAACAAACAGGTTACTAAAGAAGTTCATTCATATGAACTCAAAGCATGCTTGTTTCAGTTTCTGAAATGGCTAAAGAAAATTTTACTTTTCCACAATATTCTTATTTTTTGAGAAGCACCCGTAGGTTGGAGTAAATGAATGCATCTTGATCTAAAAGCACTAACTTGAGGTTCTCATCCTGCAGGTCGTGAGCTTTGAGGGCAGATTTAGAAATTCCAATGCCTGGAGGAATTCTGTCTGGGTATCTCACAGCAAGCTTCATTCCATTCAGAGTATATCCCTGGAAGAAGGGAACAAAAAAAAGAGGAAATTTTTCAGCTCTTTCAATAGATTTGACCAAATTTTAACATAAGAAATGCGAAACCATATATTTTGCTTTAAAGAACCAAAAATGTGTAAATGGGGAAAAAGGAAAGCGAGCTAATATTAATAGTTCAGCTAATTACAGTTGTGGTCAGAAGTTTACATACACTTGTAAAAAATATAATATAATGGCTCTACTGAGTGTCCCATTATTTCTAAAACTCTGATTTTTCTCTGATAGAGTGATTGGAACAGATATTTCTTTGTCACAAAAAACATTCATGAAGTTTGGTTCTTTAATGTCTTTATTGTGGGTTAACAGAGAAAAGTGATCACATTTGCTGGGTCACAAATATACATACAGCTACATGAACTAGCAATTTTGGTGACTTAGAAACGTGTCAGTGAACTGGGCTTCATAGCATGGCCTCTTAACTTCTTGTGAGGGATTATGAGTGACTACAGCGGGTGACTTCTCTTAGGCCAGGTAAATAGGGCTCATTGGATACAAACGCCCACAAACGCTACAATGGGAAAGTCAAAGGAGCTCAGCATGGATCTGAAACAGCGAATTATTGACTTGAACAAGTCAGGAAAGTCACTTGGGGCCATTTCAAAGCAGCTGCAGGTCCCAAGAGTAACAGTGCAAACAATTGTTTGTAGGGCTGTAGCGAAGCCTCGACGAAGTCGACGGCTCGATTCTAAAAATTTGTCGACGTCAGATCCGGAAGTCGACGCACCGCGCCCACTTGTTGCATCCCCAGGAGTTTGTAAATAGAGGAGGAATCTGCCTGTTTTTCCTCTAGTTCGCCCTCTTCTCCGCCTTCACTAACATCTCCGCCAAATACCGAAGACCCGGAACAACGTCCGTCCACTACTAGATTATTTTCCTGTTTTGCCCCTTCGTCTCCCGGCAACGGACAACAACTTCCGGGGTCAGATGCGCTGCTTTGTGTCTATCGCAGATGTAGAAAATCACCGGGAGCGCTTCTCCCTTCATTAAGGAGCTTCTTTCAGACATGAGGAGAGCTGTTTTGGTGGTAGCAGTCTCTCCTCCGTGCTGGTCTGTTTGCTGCTGGGTGTTTTTGGTTTATTTAAACTTGGTAACTTGAACTTAACGTTGGTAAAGCTACTGTTAGCATCTTCGCTAACAGCTTCTTGCGTTGGGATAAGCTGTTACGTTTTGGTTTAGAGTTCATCTTTTTTGTGGTGCAGATCTCCCTTTTATTACATTTAGAGTGTTGTGGGTTTTCGGTTTAGTTTAAAATATCACCTTGAGTTTGGTTTAACCCGTAACACCACTCGCCTCACGCACATAAGTGACCAAAACAAAGCAGCATGGAGACACTCCATCTTCTACCACCTCTCAGGCAGCAGCCTGCACTCCCAAGTTCTACACGTCACCAGAACATAACCAACCGCAACACAATAAAAGCAGTGTTATACAAAATGGAAGGCCTGTAGTGTTTATTCTCTTACAGTAAGAATTTATCAATTTTTTTGAGGAATTTATTTGAGATTTTCTGGTTTTTGTTAATTGTGCAATAGAAAAATAATCATTAGATTAATTTTCTAAATAGTCATTAGAATAGTCGACTATTCGATAAAATAATCGTCAGAATAATCGTTTTAAAAATAATCGTTTACCCCCAGCCCTAATTGTTTGTAAGTATAAGGTGCATGGCACTGTTTCATCACTGCCAAGATCAGGAAGAAAACGCAAGCTATCACCTGCTGCTGAGAGAAAATTGGTCAGGAGGGTAAAGAGTGAACCAAGAATCACCAAAAAGCAGATCTGCCAAGAATTAGAAGCTGCTGGAACACAGGTGTCATTGTCCACAGTCAAACGTGTTTTGCATCTCCAAGGACTGAGAGGCTGCCGTGCAAGAAGGAAGCCCTTGCTCCAAAAGCGGCACCTTAAGGCTCGACTGAAGTTTGCTGCTGATCACATGGACAAAGATAAGACCTTATGGAGGAAAGTTCTGTGGTCAGACGAAACAAAAATCGAGCTTTTTGGCCACAATGCCCAGCAATATGTTTGGAGGAGAAAAGGTGAGGCCTTTAACCCCAAGAACACCATGCCTACAGTCAAGCATGGTGGTGGGAATATTATGCTGTGGGGCTGTTTTGCTGCCAATGGAACTGGTGCTTTACAGAGAGTAAATGGGATAATGAAGAAGGAGGATTACCTTCACATTCTTCAACATAACCTCAAATCAACAGCACGAAGGTTGGGTCTTGGGCGCAGTTGGGTGTTCCAACAGGACAATGACCCCAAACACACATCAAAAGTGGTAAAGGAATGGCTAAATCAGGCTAGAATAAGGGTTTTAGAATGGCCTTCCCAAAGTCCTGACTTAAACCCCATTGAAAACATGTGGACAGTGCTGAAGAAACAAGTCCATGTCAGAAAGCCATCAAATTTAACTGAACTTCACCAATTCTGTCAAGAGGAGTGGTCAAAGATTCAACCAGAAGCTTGTGGATGGCTACCAAAAGCGCCTGATTGAAGTGAAAATGGCTAAGGGACATGTAACCAAATATTAGCACTGCTGTATGTATATTTGTGACCCAGCAAATGTGATCACTTTTCTCTGTTAACCCATAATAAAGACATTAAAGAACCAAACTTCATGAATGTTTTTTGTGACAAAGAAGTATCTGTTCCAGTCACTATCAGAGAAAAATCAGAGTTTTAGAAATAACGGGACACTCAGTAGAGCCATTATATTATATTTTTTACAAGTGTATGTAAACTTCTGACCACAACTGTATATCAGTTTTAAATTATTTTCAAACCTACTAAAAAAAATCTAAATAATTTCAAGGCCAAACCCTGCAGGTACTGGAAATAAAATGAAAACCTGAGTGCAGACTACATAAAAAGGAAGGGCGGCACCGTGGCCTGATTAGTTACTCTAAAACCGGGATACGCTCATTGGTCTAACTACTTCAGGGAAGCAACAGGTTCGTGTTTAATGTGCTTAAAGCTTTTGACTGCCTCGTGTTTACATTCACACCCAGTACATTTGACACTTAACTCCTCCACCCAGAGGAGATGAGCTGCTTCAAATAAAACTGAAATCTGGTAACGGTTGGACGCTTCTGGAGCCCCTAAGCTTGTTCTGGGTTCAGTGCACTCACATGAAAGCGCCTGATTGCTTCATCGCAGTGCTCTGGTTTAGTAAAGTTGACAAAGGCACAGCGTTTGACGGACAGAACCTTTGCACTAATAACATCACCTGCCCTGCAAGAGAAAACCAGATACTCAAACCAGCTGAATTTAGAGCACTGAAACACATTTTTATACACTAAACAGGTCATACTTGCTAAACAGGTCTTTAATCACGGGCTCAGGTACCGGATAAGTCAAGTTTCCCACCCAGACTGGAAACAGCTCCCTGTGACAAACAAGAACATTACGATGAAAACATTCTCCAGTTATCTGCCGCTGGTCAAAAGCGTAGCATTAGTGGTCTTTCACTTACAGTGGTGGTTTTTTGTCACTGTTTGTTGGTTTAGCATCAACAGGTTTTGGTTGATCTCCTACGTTTGGTATATTCTGGACTGGACCCAACAGCGTGCTGGGTGGTGGGGTTTTGTACGCATCATACGACTGAGCAGAGACAGGGCTGGTTTTGGCTGAGAGGACCGGAGACACCCCGGTGACGTTCACCACTTGAGCCAGAGGGACCGTGCTTTTTAAAGGAGCTCCTATAACAAAATTTCTATTATTGCTTCATAAGGTGATGCCAAGTTTAAAAGAGAACAGGAGCTGGGAGTCTATGATCACACTGACCTGATTGGTGGTTCAATTTGGACAGAACCTCTAAGGCCTTATTTACCGTCCCATGGATAATTAAAGCGTTGGAACTCTGTTCCCGTGTGAAACCATACTCCTGAAAGAAAAACACAATTACAGAGCAGCACAACTCCTCAGTGAATAACACAATAAGATCATGGAACGGTTTGAGCACCTATTTAGAAATATGAATGTTACGCACCATTACTTGTATAATCTGCACTCTCATGAGTTCCTGAGCAGCTTCTGCATATGAACTGTCCAGTTTGAGGACATCCCTGAAGGCCTGAGCAGCCTCTTCATACCGCTGAAAGAACAAAAAGAGGAAAAAATATTCACCACTCTGAACAAATGTCAGCCTTTACTTACATCATCCAGTCAAAACAGGAGGAGGTGGTGTTGACACAAGGCCAATGTGAGAGGAGTCAGAATAACCTGAACTGTAAATAAACTGTTCAGGACAGCTAGTCTCGTCTGATGACAGCAGAAAAGTGGCTCGTTGTTTTAGGAAGAGGCACTTGAGATTGATGCTTTTCCCTGGTGTCCCACAAGGTTCAGTCCTTGTTCCACCCTCACATTTGCATTCATCTACTCTGAGTGAACTATACGTCAATTTAGGGCTAAACGTCAGCCCTAAATTGACAGTAGAGGTCTTTGTATGATTAAAATTTGGATTTCAAACAATGCCATCATTTTATTATCAAAGCTAAGTTGTTGTTTTTCCTGACTGACCCAGGATCTGTGGTGTTAGCCGCCTTTACACAGCTGGGTTCTTGAGGCAGCCCACCCCATCATGGGGAGAAAACTCTCCATACATATTCCTTGTTAAGGTTCACAGAACCACTGTGCACTTTAAGGTTCACACTTTCCCCGTTAAGGAGTCGAAAAGCTCGGTTCTTAGTCCATAACTGTTATATTTACATGTCAGCTAAATTATTAGGGTACCACGCTACAATAAACCTCCCCTTATGAATGGCTAATTTACAGATGTATCAATAATTTCACTGACAACACTTAAAAGTGTTTAATTTGTATTCATGAAATGCAAGAACAAAACAAATCCAACTGATTTCTCGCCAAATCTGTTACGGTTGCTACATAAAACACGAGTCTAAGCTACAACCTCTTAAGCATTTGGAAACTATTTTTGCTGTGAAGAGGTACGGAATTGGTAAGTTATCCTACAATTTACATAAACAACTTTATGTCCATCCATTTTCATCCGCTTATCCGGAGTCGGGTCGGGGGGGCAGTAGCCTAATGGGCCATTCCCATCTGTACCGGGTCGGCCCGGGCCGGGTAGCCCCAGTCGGCCCCAGCCTGGCCCGGTTGATTCCACACATCCTTGTCTTAAGCCCATGTGGGCTGATTCTACCCACCAATCAGAGGCTTGCTCTAATGGAAGGTGTGAATTTGCTGTCAGCAGTGGGTGTGTTGGTCCTGGTCGGCCTGAAGCAGACCCCCTTGAGAAGAGGGCTGAGAATGAGCCTTGGTTGGCCCGGAAAAATACCAGGCCACCCAGATATGTAAACAACCTACGCTACCCGGCCCGGGCCGACCCGGTACAGATGGGAATGGCCCAAAAGGCGAGAGGCCCAGACTTCCCTCTCCCCAGCCACTTTGGCCAGCTCCTCCGGGGGAATCCCAAGGCATTCCCTGGCCAGGTGAGAGACATAGTCCCTCCATCGTGTCCTGGGTCTACCTTTAGGTCTCCTCCCGGTTGGACGTGCCCGGAAAACCTCACCAGGGAGGCGTCCAGGAGGCATCCTGACCAGATACCTGAGCCACCTCAACTGGCGCCTCTCGATGTGGAGGAGCAGCGGCTCTACTCCGAGCCCCTCCCGAATGACTGAGCTTCTCACCCTATCTCTACGGGAGAGCCCAGCTACTCTTCGGAGAAAACTCATTTCGGCCGCTTGTATCCGCAATCTCGTTCTTTCGGTCACTACCCAAAGCTCATGACCATAGGTGAGGGCAGGAACGTAGATCGACCGGTAAATCGAGAGCTTCGCCTTCTGACTCAGCTCTCTCTTCACCACGACAGACCGGTACAACGCCTGCATCACTGCAGATGCAGCACCAATCTGCCTATCGATCTCACGCCCCAGTTTTCCCTCACTCGTGAACAAGACCCTGAGATACTTAAACTCCTCCACTTGGGGCAGGACCTCATCCCTGACCCGAAGAAGGCATTCTACCCTTTTCCCAATCAAGACCATGGTCCCAGATTTAGAGGAGCTGATTCTCATCCCAGCTGCTTCACACTAAAAATATGTTGAAAAACAATTTAAAGCCAAATAGCAACTCTTGACTCCTGGTAGTTTGTCCAAATAAGAGAACTTTTACCCCAAATCCTGGGATAAATGAGTTCTTCCACGAGAATATAATACATGCATGCGGTGTGACAACACTTACCCTTAGACCCGCCAGAGCTCTGCCCTTCCTAAACAATCCTTTAACCCATCCTGGAGAAATCCCCAGAGACAACTCCGCATCAATCAGGGCTTTCTCGTAATCTTGTAACTTCTCAAAACAAAACGACCGATTGCCAAACAGCCTGCGACAGAAAGACAACGGTTCAGTCGAACAGCCAAAAATCACAACAGCATAAGGAATTTAAAAGAAAACAGAAGAGACTGGTTCTTACTTAAACTCTTTAGGGTTGTATTTAATTGCATCGGTGAAATACTTCACAGCTGTAAAATAATTTCCTTCACTCGCAAACTTATTACCCATAACTAGAGGAGAAAGATGAAGCGTTGGTTAAAATAAAATAGAAGATTTTATAATAAACAAGTAAACAAAACATACCTGCAAGCTCAGTGCTTATTTTAACATTATCTTCAATGGTGAGGCTGCTGGGAGCAGAATTCTGTTTAAAAATAAGATTATTATAATTACCACAAACGTTTATCCCATTAACCAGATGTCACCATCCAAGATATCTGACCTTTGTCTGGACCTCCTCGCATGCGTGGTTTCTGTCAGGAACGCCTCTATACTTTTCCTTCTCTGGGCTCCTCCTCTTCTCACATTTGGGCTTCTGCTCTAACTGCCGCTTCACTATCAGCGCAGCTTTGCTGACAAAAGTACTCGTCATGTCCAGTTCCTGGAGAAACAACACTGTTTTCTAAATGGCTCGAGGACATGCAGACCTGTTAGGGTTAAACTGGCGATACCTCTGAGGCTGCAGAGTCGTCCTTTGTGTCATCTTCAGCACTGGACTCCTGCTCACTGCTATCCGCCTCACCATCTGTGTCCTTATCTGCAGCTGGTGGCGTCACGCTGGAATCAGGATCCTTTTTCTTTTCATCGTTAGCGGATTCCCCTTCCTCTTCTTTAGACGGCTGTGTAGCACTTCCCTGCAGATCAAAAGAAAGTTAGTCAAAGTCTGCGGTTTGCTCCTGTTTAGACTCGGTCTGAAGGAATAGATGTTGAAGTGGATTTACTTAAAAATTACAAAAAAACAACCAATTACACTGAAAGCTTTAAACAGATCCATATACTGTCATTGATTCGTGTAAGTATCACTACACCAGACCAGTTGTGCTTTACGCATCCATTTTTGGAGCTTCCTGCATCGGGAGTGTTGCGGCTAGCTGATGCTGCTATTAGCATTCAAAATGAATCATTAAATCTACGAAAACCTGGGATGGAAATTGTTCATACAGATGTTTTGTGTTTTGAGACTTCAGAAATCTTCTTTGGTCATGGCATCCATTGCGACTAGACGTTAGCTCATCTATCGAGTAAGAAATAACCTTACAGGCTGCAGGTAAGACGTTAATTCTTTCCTCACCCCTTCATTTTGTTTTTCCTTCTCCATTTGTTTCCTCTGCTTCTGTTTCTGTCGGACGAACAAAAACAAAATGAATTCATTTCCACGGCGGCTCCTGATGAAGAACCCAGTGTTTACCTGTTTCTTGAGTCGCTTCTTCTGAGCCTTTTCTTTGCTTTTTCTAGCTTCTTGTAATAATCTGGCCTTGCGTTCGCTATCCTACAAGAAGCAAAAACAACAAAAAGACACTGAATAAGTTCATGAGTGAGCATGAATTTACCATTTACTTAAATGCTAATGCGTACTCACGCTCTCCTTTGGCTGAACCTTCAGAGATGGGCTGGGATGGTCACGGGCAGCAGGGTAATACGACTGAGAAGACTGGTAAGCAGAGCTGGACAACCTGGTGTGGCCTCCACTTAATCCTCTACTATTACCCTGGTATCTATGGTAACTGTTATGATTGTGAGGCCAGGAGTCAAAATGATCCAGATCTAGATCATCATATTCAACACCTGTTGGAAACAGACTCTTTCTTTACACGCAGAAATAAAAAAGAAAATTATTAAAACGTGCATTTCCTTTGCATCTGCTTACCAAGAAGGCCACACGCCACTATCCTCTGCATACGAAGGCTGTCAAACATGCCCACAACTTTTTGCTGAAGAGGAGAGAAAATCGTGTAAAGCACACGAGTGATCAGAAACGACCATGACGACGTCTGAGACTGAACCTCAGAGCCAGAGCTGCCTGCGTTGAGAGATGCTGAAATAAAACTCCTCTTAAGTTTCACTTTACTTTATCCTGAAAGGTCTGACCTACGTAAGCAGACGTGGCCCTTTCTTTTCTAATTCAACACCAAATTTAGGATGTCCTTCCCTTCATAACGTCCTTGACAGCTGAAAAACTTGATCAAAGAATGCAGATTATTTCACTTTTCAGGTTGTAAAATTTTAACTTTTCAGAGATAAATAAAAATAAATGTCAGATGGTTTTATCAAATGGAGCAAAGCCACATTGACCAAGAACAATAATGGCAACTCGCCAGCCTCTATCAGTAGTGTAAACAAGCTCCACGTAAACGAAGTGTGCAAGAAAAACCCTAACCCTAACCCGAACAACATCAATAACTTCGGAAAAGACAAGAAACAGGTTATTAAAGTTAAATGTGTTTACTTCAGTAAAGTTAGCAAGATATTCACACATTTGACTTTTGCGGCTCAATACTTTCTGAACAGAGGGGTATTTAGAAACATAACATACCTCTTTGGTATCATGGCATGGTAGTGAACAAGCTACAACCTCGTTTCTTTAAAAAAAAAAAAAAAAAAAAAACACCGTCCTCAGCTCCCAAGAGCTAAATTGTGCTCTATGAGACCACGAACCTGCCCGAGTGCTCAGGGACCGTCTGAAAATAAACTAACCAGAAACAGCTCTTGATCAAATATTAAAGAACACCACCCCTGTACACTGCAGTGTCACCAAATTCTTAAAATATAACACTACACACATGTTGTTCATCCTACAGTGGTTATTGTAATCCAGTAACAGGTTTTTTTTGTATTTAATTTTTCAAAGTTTTTTTAATTTTGATATCTGCTCCATTTTAAAATGTATTGACACCAAGATCATACAGCACATTATTATTGGATCAAGTTATTATTTATACCTTATAATTATCTACATTTCCTACAATGAAAATGTTATTGACACCAAAATAATGCCAAATAATTAGCACTTACATCATCTATAGTCTGCACCTTTTATTTATTTATATTTTTTTGTACTTCTCTGATTTTGGTGAATTCTCTGATTTTGGTGAATTCTTTCAACTAAGAGATTTCAATAGCTCCTACACTGTAAACTCTTTTGACACAAAATCACGCAAGCTGGTCAATACGTAGTAGGGATGAGCGAGTACACCACTATCTGTATCTGTACTCGGAATGGGCGTGGCATGACCCGGAAGTGGGCATGATTTAACTGAAAGTAGGTGTGGTTTACATCAATCTATTATTTTAAGTCTGAAATTGATATGGATTGATCAGAAGTTGATATGTGTATTGTTTATTTGAAAACTATTTACAGAGCAGCCTCAGAATTGAGATTAAATATTTTGATCACAATAGTAAAGGAACTATTACAGATCAAGTGTTTCAATAAAATCAGAACATTAATATTTAAGTGCATGGATTAATACATCTGAACTCATGCAGTAGGAACTATGAAATATGAAATGCTAGAACCAGACACAACTTTATATATATTTTTTATTTTAATTTGATTAAACTAATTTTTTTCTTAACGTTCTTGGCATTTTGCCCCACACAAAGTTAAAAACAATGTGGACTGAGGTGTGTGTGTCTGAGAGAGATGGAGAGGGTGAGAGGGAGAGAGATGGAGTAAAAAAAAAAAAAAAAACCCCAACCGGAGCGGAGGTAGTGACTGATGCAGCACGTCAGCTCTGTCTTGTCAAATGCACCAGGTAAGTTACGAAAAAAGTAACTTTAAATATTCAACCGAAAACAGTGAAGCAATCACAGCGAGATCCGTTACAGTCTGTGTGTGCGCGCGGATGAGCCGCACGGACTGAGCTCCTGCCCGGCTAGAGTTTTGTGCGTAGGGAGGGGCGGGCGCTCTATGTGACTGGCCAATCACAGAGCGTGAAGACAGTCAGTTACCCAATGAGGATTTTCCTTCAGCAAGATTACAGATATTTACGAGTTTTACACGTTTCATGCTCGTACTCGTCAAAAATGCTTTATCCGTACCGGATACTCATCTGAAACGAGTATCCGGCTCATCCCTAATACGTAACTCCTCTTAATACTACAATATTTACTTTTAGGAAAAAATACTTCTCTCATTTTTTGTGATTTTTTAAAGTTTTTTAATTGCAATAGCTCCTACACTGTAAACTGTTGACACAACATCATGCATGCTGGTCAACACTTACGTGCCCTACATACTACACCTTTAACTTTTTTGAAATAATACTTCAGATTTTTGTGATTTTTTTAATAGTTTTGTAATATCAATAGATCTTACACAGTAAACATAAGTGATGCAACATCAAGCCTGCTGATCAGCACTAACATGCTTTACATACTACAACTTGGAGTTTATGGATAAAATAATTCTCTGATTTATCATTAATTTTTTAAGTACGTAATTGTAATAGCTCCTACACTGTAAAGTCTAGGGAGGCAAAATCGTGTCTGCTGATCAACACCAACATGCTGTATACACAACATTTACTTTTTTCAAAAAATACCTGTCTGATTTTTGTATAATTTTTCAATCATTGAAATGTTTGTAGCTCCTACACTGTAAAAGTTATTGTCACAAACTCATGCATGCTACTCAGCAGTAACCGGCTCTACATACTCCAACATGATGTATTTTTGTTAAAAAAATACATCTGATTCCTCATTTATTTTACACTGTAAACTGCAGTGACACACAAATGGCCCCTGCTGATCACAAATTTCCTCGTACTCTTTATCAATACTTACAAAATTTACCAGTCAAGAAATTTTAAATTTTTGGATCATTAACACTTGGTCATTTGCGTTTTCCATTTTTACGAGGTTAAATAATTTGATCAAAACAACGCACCTGATCACCTTTGCTTATCTGTGTTTCTCCAAAAACAAATCACACATCAAATATATCAACATAAAAGGCACTGATTCAGAAATGTCAAATTGAATTAATTATTTACACCGTACACCTAACATGTACTACTTTAATATCAAGTGGATGTCATGTACCTGGGCAGAGGTGAGTCACACCACCTCCTCTCATCAGCTTTGAGTTAATTCTCCACAGGTGAGGAGCAGAGGGAGCGGCAGCTGCAGGAGATTCCCAAATCAGGGACGCGGGTTCAAAAGGAGGATGGAGACACCTCACTGTGATGATTGCACCAGTTTAGGTAGCCCCAGCCACTTGTTTTGCTCTTGTTCGTTCATGTTTAGACTCGCTCTTTGACTATTGGATTAATGACCTCGGACCGTGTTTTTTGGACTACGTTTTGGATTACCCCTTACGCCTGGTGTTTGTTTCCCTTCCCCTCAGGATCCTCACACCACCTGCTCCACCCTCGCTGTCTACGTACTCTGGATTTCACACATCACGTCCCATCCTCCTCCGTTGTTCCTGTTTGGTTTCCCTCTGCTACCTCGCCCCTCCTGGAGCGCTCACCCTCTGCCCAGCGCTCTCCTCGGCTTCCCCTCCTCTCTCGTTCATTCCGAACGCTACACAGACTTGAGCCGCACCGCTCACTCCCACAGGACTTCCCTGTGCTGTTTCTGTTTCCGTCTTGTAATAAAGAACTTTATCAATCTGCCCGACGAGTAATGATTCTGCATGCCTTGGCTTAGGCACTTACCTCGAGTCATGAGAGTGGAAGCTAATTCCAGAGAGAAGGAGCCAAGACCGAGAAAGCCAGATCACCTCTAGACCTGTACCTAGTTTGTGGGACAGTCAGTATGTCCATCATCATGCTTATGTAAACAAAGTGTAGAGTAAAGTAATAGGCTCACAACATTTAAGTTATGCTGTGATGTAGAGTACACCTCAGAATTAAGACTTAAAAAAACAAAATACTCGCATACTGGCCTCTCTCTCTCACACACACACACACACAAATACTTGACAGGTATGAGTAAAAAAAGTGAAATAGAGAACAATTAAACTAACTGTAAATAATAAATTATCCTTTCCAAAATACAAATACTTTGCATATGAAAGAAAAGTTTGCACTGCTTTCCTTAAAGTGCATCATCATTCTTATGTAAACAAAGGACAATCAAGTCCTCGGCTCACAAATCTGAAGTTGTTCTGTCTTGTCCAGTACAAATCCATGTCTGTTATCACACATTCGTAGGACTCCAGGGCTTGTTTATGCTGACATTCAACAGATTTTTACCTCTGGTCAAAACACTGCTTTCCTCTCAGTGTCTTCCTTCTGTGTTGGTCAAACTGTGTTGGTTATTTTTCAGAAAAATTATGTTAAATGGTAACGTCACCTATCAACATGCTTCCCCTGGAGTCTGCTTACAGCACTACTTCTGCATCTTTTTGATCGTAAACTAACAATTGTGTCTGTATTTCATGAGGAAACATTTATGTAACAATGAACGCGATAGGAGACATGTCAGCAATTAATTTAAGGTATTCAAAAGTCTCTTTAAATCTGAAATATTCTTGCAAATGTGGCAAATAATTTGTTTATCTTGCTTTTATTCTAAAATTACAATGATTTTAAAATAAATAAAAATTAAGAGATGCATTTTTTCTAAAAAGTACAGCAGGTACGTGCTGATCAGCATGCATGAGTTTGTGTCAGAGTTTACTGTCTAGGAGCTATTAAAATTACAAAACTTTAAAAATTCACTAATAATCTGAGAATTATTTTCCCCCAAAAATAAAGGTTGTAGCATGTAGAGCAGAATAAGTGATGACCAGCGGGCATGCTTTTGTGTCAACAGAGTTGACAGTGTCGGACCTATTGAAATTAGAACATTTCAAAAATTCATAACAAATCAGAGAAGTATTTTTTCCTAAAAGTAAAGGTTGTAGTATGTAGAACATCGAAGTATTGACCAGCATGCATGATTTTGTGTCAACAGTTTACGGTATAGGAGTTATTTAATTTTTTTGTTTTAAAATATCACCAAAAGTCAGAGGGGAAAAAAGTGTAGTACTTTCTCTAAAAACATAAAATGTGTAGTATCATCAGCATCAAAACTGATTTTCTGTGAGAATTTGGTGACACTACGGTATGAAATGGAGCAGCTTTTGGAATTTGTATTATTAAAAGTTTCACACTAAATCTAAACTGTATACCTGGAATAAAATAAATAGTGTCGTGTGATCAGCGTGTGTGCAGTGTTGTATTTTGTGAATGTGGTCACACTGCAGTGTGTAATTGTGGACTTTTTCCACAAAGTTTATCTTCAAACGTTTCTGGTGTGGCTATTTGCTGACGGTCCCTGAGCGCTCATTTTGCTCTGTCGGCCCACAGATATCAATGGAAGGCGTCGGGAGCAGAGTACGACAAAGAACGTTTTTTTTTTTTTTTTTAAAGAAACTAATGGGCCATTCCCATCTGTACCTGGTCGGCCCAGGCCGGGTAGCCCCAGTCGGCCCCAGTCGGCCCCAGCCTGGCCCGGTTGATTCCACACATCCTTGCTTAGGTATGCAAGGAATGCAGTCAGAGACACTTTCAGCTTCTGGGTAATCAGCATGATAATGAATGATAATGAATTGAGCATGTCTTAAGCCCATGTGGGCTGATTCTACCCACCAATCAGAGGCTTGCTCTAATGGAAGGTGTGAATTTGCTGTCAGCAGTGGGTGTGTTGGCCTGGTCGGCCTGAAGCAAACCCCCTCGAGAAGAGGGCTGAGAATGAGCCTTGGTTGGCCCGGGAAAATACCAGGCCACCCAGATACGTAAACAACCTACGCTACCCATAATGGGCCATTCCCATCTGTACCGGGTCGGCCCGGGCCGGGTAGCGTAGGTTGTTTACGTATCTGGGTGGCCTGGTATTTTTCCGGGCCAACCAAGGCTCATTCTCAGCCCTCTTCTTGAGGGAGTCTGCTTCAGGCCGACCAGGACCAACACACCCACTGCTGACAGCAAATTCACACCTTCCATTAGAGCAAGCCTCTGATTGGTGGGTAGAATCAGCCCACATGGACTTAAGACAAGGATGTGTGGAATCAAATGGGCCATTCCCATCTGTACCGGGTCGGCCCAGGCCGGGTGGCCCCAGTCGGCCCCAGCCTGGCCCGGTTGATTCCACACACCTTTGTCTTAAGCCCATGTGGGCTGATTCTACCCACCAATCAGAGGCTTGCTCTAATGGAAGGTGTGAATTTGCTGTCAGCAGTGGGTGTGTTGGCCCTGGTCGGCCTGAAGCAGACCCCCTCGAGAAGAGGGCTGAGAATGAGCCTTGGTTGGCCCGGAAAAATACCAGGCCACCCAGATGTGTAAACAACCTACGCTACCCGGCCCGGGCCGACCCGGTACAGATGGGAATGGCCCATAAACAACCTACGCTGCCCAGCCCGGGCCGACCCGGTACAGGTGGGAATGGGGCTTAAGATGTAGCTTGTTCACTAGCTTGCCACGATACCAAAGAGGTATGTTATGTTTCTAAATACCCCTCTGTTCAGAAGGCATTGAGCCGCAAAAGTCGAATCTGTGAATATCTTGCTAACTTTACTGAAGTAATGTGTTTAATGGGCTTAAAGATATGAATGAAAGCAGCGTGACATAAGCATTACATTTAAACAAGGATTGTTCGTCATAAACGGACACGAGACTGAGATACATCATGAGTGAGAAAACTTAACTCCACAGGAATGAATGGGAAAATAATGACAACAAAAAAAGTTTCAAGTATGTGACATTTTCCTGCTCTCTGACTCAATAGATCACTTTAGTGTGTTTGAGAAACACCGGAAATACTTTTAATAAACATGTATAACCCTTCGGTAGAAAGAAACGCTTGTATGGCTGTGAAAAACATGCAATTATTCACATTCAAAAGTATAGATCAACTAAATTTGACTATAGGTGGGAAGGGTTATGAGCCGGCCTGCACGTGCTTATTTCTGGGACTCCGGGTTGTTTTCTGATATTTCCCAGTGAGTAAGGTCTACGTGACTCCGACTATCTGACGTTCAAGGCAGCGGCGGAGCGAATCAAGGCCGTTACCGCTTTTATCCACTCAAAACGATCCAAGGAGAGGACTTACCATCATACGGACGTCCGTAAACTCTGAGGAAGGAAGAGAGGAAACAGACGATGTGAAATAAGACGTGTCTGACGCTCGACTCAAAAACTTTAAGCCCTTTGTTTGTCCAGTGTAAGTAACTAGCTCATTAGCTAAACTAACTTCTCAGCAAACCCGAATAAAGCCTTTTCTCACCCGTTTCATCTGTAAATACCTGCATGGTTCCGTGAAGACGCGCCCAAAAAACGCCTTATTATAATTACAAAACCAACACGACAACATTTAATGTTACATTACTAAAGCCAATTTTAGCAGCCACTAACTTCAGCTGCGTTCGTGCCCAAAGCTTATTTTCTCAGAAAAAAAAAATAGATAAAAGTGGGTGGGATGATTATGCGCACGCGCACTGAAGCACCAGCGCTACAAACACTGCCGCCCCCTAGTGGTGACCTTTGTAATAACAATAGAGAATTTAAACAGCAGTTATTTTACCTGTTCATTTCTCATAAAATACATAGATTTCAAATAGAAAGACATTAAAGCAGCATGACAAATGCCCCCCAACAGTATATTCTTAAAAAATCTGATGTCTTGTGTGTAATTGTACCTGTACTTTTATTTTTCTTCTTTTTCTCCAGGTGTATGTGCGGCTGTCATGAGTGAATTTCCCCACTATGGGATTAATAAAGTCTATTCATGAAGGACTTACAAGTTTATATGAAAACAAAAACCTAAAAATTATTTTGTGACCTATTGCCTGTTACTAAACATCGGCATGCTGGGATGGGAGCATCCTGGCTGTTTCACTGTTGTCCAGCTACTCTCTGTAACCCTAAATAAAGTATCTTCCTGAACATTTCTGCAAGAATTTTTGCAGCAAGAACCGAGGCCCTGGTTAAAATAATAGTGGTATTTTATTTAAAGCCTATAGGTACTTCTTTGCTCAAGTTACAACTATTTCTGACCACTTGTCAATGACATTTTTATCTCTCACCACTTTGCATCATTTAACTCCAGACAGCGTGCAGGCTGTATTTCTGCAGGATAGCTTCATGTCTGCTTTTCAAGTCTAGCTAGCTGAAATATTTAGCACTACCTACAATTTAACCTAATCACTTGACAGAGTAACAATATGTGGTAAGATTTTGTTATAAAAATGCATATATTTAAGAATATATGCGTTGTGAACATTGAAAGATTATGTAGCTTGCATGCTAGGGTGCTGTGTATTAAGTGCGGTGTTTCTGAATATTTCTCAAATTGCATTTGTTGTCCGAGTAAATGAAACATTATGCATTGATAATGAAGGTCACATTAAAATTTAATGCATCATTCAGTGACAGTAAACAACCAGAAATCACTTTCTGAATAATTTAAGGTTAATAAAACTTGTTGTTTTAAACAACAACAGGTAGAACTGTTAAAAGAAACAGGAAACATACTTTTATTTTGTAGAACATCACGTTTGATATGCTGAAGTAGGTTTGTACCAACTGTGTCATGACAGGAGAGGTTCAGTGCAGGGCTCTCTCTTTGTGCAACCGTCTCAGGATGAGTCATGAGAAATACGGTAATCCACCGCTGTTACTGTTGAGATTTAAGATTAAAACCCTGAGTTTCAAATTATTATTTAGCCAGTTTCCTTTTGTAAAGTAAGAAACAGTTTAGTCAGATTCATCAGCAGCAAATCAGTGCTTTTAGTTTCCACGATGGGAACGGTATTTACTCTACGACGCGTCCGTGGCGAACAGAAAAGGCGATGAGTCGGCTGTAAAAGGAGGTCAGGAGGACGATGGCTCCCACCACCATGCCGCAGATGAGACTAAATGCCCAACGAGGCCCAAGAAGCGTGTAGACGTGAGAGACAAAGACAGGGCCCAGTGTTCTGGCTGCGCTCCCCGAGGCCGTCAACCAGCCCATGTACACACCCTGAAAACACCAAAGGACACATCAATGGTCAAGAACATTTAGAAAGGCTGAAAACAACCTGATGAGTTCCACTTAAGTCTTCTACCTGAGGCTTTGGTCCAAGGATTTTGGAATACAGGGTGTAGGACATCACGTTGCATGCTGGGTAACCCACCCCGATCAGGATGTCTGATGAGATGTACTGAGCGAGGTGTATGGCAGGTGTGTACTGACACCAGGTCTGCTCATAAGGGCAGCCCGTTGGCTCCGAGGAGTTGTTGGCAGCTAATGAGATTTCAGACAGGCGACTGACCAGTGAGTTGTTTCTCAGATCTGCATTTTGATTTAAAAAAAATCAATTAGTTTTTAACTCTGCTGACGATACTAGAACCAGTAAAGTTGAGAAGTGACTTCATCTTAAAGGTCCTACATTATGCAAAATCAGGTGTTTGATCATGTTTTATTGTTGCTTCCTCATCAAAAACATTGCCAAAGTGGTTGTTGGCTTCATACGTGGATTCTGCTTTCAGCTGGAGATCCTCTGCTGAGCCGCCCAGTTACGGCTGGATGGGACAGGTTTGTGCCATCACGTTCTGCTCCCATCCATCCAGGAGGTGCATAACCTGTACGCTCATCCCCTGGACTGTAATCACTAAGCCCAGCTTTCCAATGGTTGCGTATCCAAATACACAATTTCTCCTCAAACGGCCGCTAAAGCGTTCCACGAACCTTGTCCTGGTAGGACCAGGGAACTGGAAGGCCACACACGATTTTAGCAGTTCACACAATAACAAGAAAGCAGAAGGACGGCAGCATGTATCCAATTAGGTCTGGGGTATGATTTCTGTTCTGGCTTTTATTTTGAAAGTTTCTGAATGTTTTACACAGCTTTCGCGTTTTGAATTCCCGCCTGGCCCGATCTGAAATGATGAGCCCGACACGTCTGGAAGAGTAGCTCGGCAAAAATCAACACAAAGCGTAAATTTAGCCGAGTAATGCGTCCTTATGCTTCTGGGATGCATCCCAAATCTGCTTCACCGCCAGCGAAGACACACCTATAATGCAACTATAATAGCGGCCAAGTGCCACGTGCTATGCTTCGCAGACATTACGCAACGCTTATGCATCTAGTGGAAAGGTCCAGTAATGCCCGCTTTCCATGAGTCGCAAGCAGTTAAGAATTTCTTTCTTTCCCATCTAGTCTGCACTTTTAATAGCGTGTGAAAAGACCTTAAACTACCCGATAGATAGACCAAAGTTGCGAGTAAAACTAAAACGCTAACTGCTAGCTGAAAGGTCGTAATGTTTGGTGGTAGTGAGTGGTGCCAAAGCTGCTTTCTTCTTCTTTTTCTTTGTGGCCCATGATGCTTTGCTGGGAATCTAGGGTTACATCATGAAATGGGCGGAATACACATAGGTGGAGGCGGAAATTCATCCGATCCACGCGTCTTTTTTACAGGTTGAGAAAATATGTTTCAGAAAAAATGACGTCTCCATAGTGCAAACAGTAATATATTATCATACGTGAGCCTAGCATAGCTCTGAAAAGTGTAATTTAGCATTATATAGGACCCTTAATTAATATTAATAACTAACCAATTAGAAATGCTAAATACCTGCCCACTGGATCTTAGGGAAATGATTTCCCCACGGCAGCAGAACCACAAAGCCACAGAGAATAACGGAGAAGCCTACGAGCAACACGGGGCGATCCCCAAACCTTGAGGAAAAAAACAAACGGTCTTTAACGTCGCTCAGGAAAACCCGAGATACACTCAGGGAGCAAAACACCACGCAGATGTTACCTTTGAGAGGCTGCTTTCACAGCCAGAAACACCAGGATGGACTGAAAGCCGATGCCACACATGATGATGCCGTTGTACAGCACGGCTTCCTTCCTGGTCCAGGCGAACATGTCCATGGACAAAGGAGTGGCGATTCTGATCGGAGACAGTCAGAGCTTTACACAAACGGAGGAGGACAGAGGGGAGGCTGGCCTCCGACTCAGGTGATGTAGAAAAGTTTTCAATCAAAACCTACGTTTCAAACACGGCAAAGATAAACATGATGGTGAAGAACAGGACGTTGGAGATCAGAACGGCAAAGTGGTCGATGGATTCTTCCGTTTCATCAAGGAGACTGACTCTGTCTGCGAGGAGAGAGGCACACGTCTGACATGTGAAGGGACGTATTTAGTAGCGCTGAGATATAAAAGTAGACTAGATTTAGGGGAATTATTGCTCTCCTTCATTCAAGCTGACCGCAACCATCTCTGTTTCCTAATATCCAACACTAGGTCTCCCCTCTTAACGGTGTGTAAAACGAGATTTTTTAGTAATTTTTTTGGAGATTACCTTCAGCATCTGGCTCTCAACTACATCAGCATAATAAATAAACTACAACCACAGGTACCTTCTGAGGAGTAGTTGATGGACTGGACGTTCCTTCCTTCTTCATCCACGGAATGTTCTCTGGTGGCAAGACACACACACACACACACACACTTGAGCACACAAAAACATCTAAAAACAGACACTGTTTTAAGGTAATGTACTTTCTCTTGGTCATTTCCAGAAGGCGCTCATTAAAGTTTAGATTTCTGAAAATCTGATTACCTACAATTTTAGGATTAACATCCTGCCTTTAATCAAGCGTGTATTTGATCGATTTGTGATTAATAATTGTCGTTTTCACGCTCCGATCTCAATCTGCTCTCTCTCAAGTCGTGCTCAAAATCCCCTTTCTTCTCTTAACCCTTTGATGCATAATGGTCACTACAGTGGACAGGTACTCAAAATTGTTATTTATTTGTTTTTGCTATTAAGCACAGCTGTTGAAGACTTTATTGCATTTGAGCCCCTCCGTTTGGACTTCAGTAAGCCAAGCCAACATATTTCATGCTCAGAATGCTCGCTGCCCACTGAGGTGGACATGTAATAAATTATTTGTAAATTATAAAATCTTACAAAAAAACATTTATTGAAATTTGTTTCATTCACACCTAAAGACGAATGAAAAAAATTGTTAAAAAAAAATCATGGTTGAAGATTTCATAATTCATGCATCAAAGGGTTAAATTAATCCAAACATCCCCCTCTGGAGTTAGAGCTCCTATGCTGGTACGCTCAGACTTTTTCTCTGTGCTCTTGAGTTGAAGCAAGACGGTCCTGCCATTCAGCCAATGGGAAGCCAAAAACAATGCTGACCAATGAGCTTGTCACACCCAAAAAGTGCGTGGGTTTGGGGTGTGTGTAGGGTGCCAAACTTTTTCCAAGGCCGTGTACACGCATAGCCAGGATTTTGTAAAACCGAATATCCTTCCCCGCACATCTAGGGGACAAAACCTGGATGCACACCACCTTATTTTTTAGCAAAAAATTAAATAAATCCAGTGTTTTGTGAAGCACATTCATAAGCATGCCAAGCCTGTAGGTGGCAGTAGTTCTCCAAATCATCAGGGTCTTTGGTAAAAAAAACATGCCTTAGGCGTGGCGGGCAGTAACTGTCCTTAACTTGGTCCTTCATCTGTGTCCAAACCACAGAAAGCTTTGTTTTATGGGGTAGTCGGCTAGCACGCCCAAAAGATAACGATGACCTCATTGGTCAGCATCTTATCTGGCTTCCTATTGGCTGGATGACAGGATCGTCTTCAGCGCAGGAGAGCAGGAAACACCTGGTTGAGCAGGTTTTAGGACCGCAGAGAGAAGAGGCTAAAAGTTCAGACCGAGACATTTAAGAGCAGAAAAGTGCATTTGAGAGCAAGTGAGACATATTTGTATGCAAGAAATGATGTTTGAGAGAGCAGAACAAGATCTGAGCATGAAAACAACAATGATCTCAAATTGGCAAAATGTGCTCTTAAAGGCTGGATTTTAATGCCATAAACACTAGTTAAACCCATGCGTTATCAGCAGATGGTGCCTTTTTCTAATAATAAAATCAGAAATTCTGCTATTTGAAAATGTATTTTTTTAGCATTTCATCACATTTTTTATTTTTCCTGAAAAAAAAAGACAATTGACCCAAATCTGCAATGAAAGCGCTCTAGACGTAAGGGGAACACTGATGGTGGTTTCATTAAAAAAAAAACCCTGAGAAGCAACTTCCTCCTGAAATAAAGAAACGTTCTCTGATCTATGAAGACTCAGTGGAACTGACAGCAATGTTATCTGAACTAGAAACACACACGGACACTCGAAAGGCCGTAACAGAGCACTGACTTAAACACCAGCAGAACCAGCAGGATGTTGATGAGGCCAAACGCAGCAGCCAGTAAGGCCGGTGTAGTGTACATGTTCAGCTGCAGGTCGATGACGTTCACTGTGACGCCTTTTTCACCGATGAACGACAGACACGCCTGAAGAGCTACAACATAAATGAATTAGTTTTTGAGTGAACTCGGGTGAAACTCGTTTTGAGCGGTACTGGGTAAAGTACCGGGTCCAAGGATGAAGCCCAGAGCCTGACAGGCACTCATGTTGGCCATGGCACCAGTCCGCTCCTTTAGTGATGTCGCTCCAGCAATGTACGACCTCGCCACAGCAACATTACCTGCAGCACCAAGATCAGAACTTGACTTTAGACCCGTGTGTATAATAACCATGACACAGATTTGGTTCTTCCAGAACTGCACCTGCGCCGAAGCCCACGAAGGCTCTGGACAAGAGCATGTGGTACTTGTTGTTGGTCCTGGGCAGGTAGGCGTAGGCGTAGTAGATGTTCGCCGCCAGGTTGATGAAGATGGAGCAGACCAGCGGCTCCCGGCGCAGCCGGTGATTGGACCACAAACCGAAGAGAGGTGAAGCCACCATCTGACCCAGACTGTAGGCTGCTACCATCCAGCCCAGGAAGCTGGCGTCGGCACTGCTGTCCACCTTAAAGCCAATAAAAACCTTAAAGCAGCGGGAAACTACAGAAGATGTAACCCCTCTAGTTATTATTGTAATTCACATTTAGTAAGATGTGCTTTTCGGAGTCACTATTAGAGACTTTTATTTGCACCATTTATTTTTAATCAAACTTAGCTTTTTTTAAACTTCCCTCTCGTGTTTGACCCGTAACCAAACATGTTTGCAGAATCACTCCTCTTATTAAGAAGCTGGATGCAACCGCTTCATGACACCAACTGGAACCATAGAAAAGGTGAAATGGTGAGCGGTTCATACCTTTTCCAAATAGGGCCACAGTGATGTGATGACGATAGTGAAACCTAACAGGAAGTAGAACACAGATGATCAGTGAGCTTCATGACCAGAGTTAGACTCCAGGAGCAGAAATCATTCAGTTTCCTTAAAAATTTAAACACTTTTAAAGATTTCAATCACACATGTAGCAGAAATCCACATTTTATATCCTTAGATTAACTTTGTATGGGTTTACACGGAAAATAACCATAACACTGTCACACAAAGGGTTCTTTCACATTCAGCAGAAGGAAATAAAGAGGGGAATTTGAAACTGGCCCGCAGCTGGGCATTCTGGTTAACTCCTACATTTTCTCCCAGGAATGTAAATTTTACCAAGTGACTTGTTAAGCCGGACAATATCAGGACTTGGTCTGTCTTACTTCAACCTGCCAATAACTGACTCTTCCCCCAGGCCGGGTGCTCGTAAAACTTCTCAAGGGTCATTCTGGAAGATTCCAGGATCTCGCCTTTATCAAAGCCTTGGTGTTTTTCTGTTTATCTATAATCAAAGAAGGTGTTTAGGTTGTTCACCCTTAAAATAGAAATCAAGGTGCTCCAAGTTAAAATCTTATCAGCCACGGACCTAAACTGTTTGTTTTGTGTTTCCTTTCATGTTAAACCTCTGTCATTTGGTGTTTCTCCAGTTAAAATTCATGCTAATGTAAAACTGTTCAGTTTTAAGGCATGAATTTTATTCTTTCCTGTTGAAAGCAATACTTTGATGCTAAAGTAGTACTTTTGAGGTTATATGAATAACTGTGTTAAATTGTGATGGTAGATTTTCATCTTGGAGAAGGTAGTTTATTTGGTGGAGCCACAGTGCCCTCCAGTGGTGTTTGAGTAAGATACAGGTGGGCGCGCCCAAAAGGTTATATAAGCACCCATCCGAACCTTGTGGCGGAGTTCAAGAACAAAGGACGCCTTAAGCACATCCCTGCAGCTGTTTCCATCTGGCCTAGCAGAACCCGGCGCTTTACAGTTGTCAAGTAATTAGCTCTCAAAAGTTACGGTAAAACTTAGAAGCAGTTCCGTTTTGTTTTGTTTGACTTCCAACATAAAACTGGAAGTCAGCTTGGTCCTGTCGAGTTTTCACATTAAGAGTTCAAACTAATTTGGAGCAGTTTTTCTGATCAGTATCTGTTTTGATAATTTGGACTCGCGCTCTGAATTCCACATTTTTGGTGCAGCAGAAGTGAAGGAACCTTGAGTCAAGCCACTACGGGGGAACACCTCCTACATAACACAGATGCCGTTGACCTAAGCTGAGGTGCCAAAAGGTCCTACGGCCCCTGAAGGCCACATTCAAACTTCTGGACCCGGCTGAACCAGCTCCCTCAGGACACCTCTTTAGTGACAGAAAAAGGTCTGTGAAGCATCTCATCTGGCTGACTTTTGAGCTAAGCCCGATTAGTGAATTCAGATTAGTCCATTTCTTTTATGGCATGTTTTTATTTTGATCCGAAATTCACGTTTAGCCCTCAAGATCCCCTTTCTTCTTCTGCCATAACGAGCCACACGAACACACACACACACACACACACACACACACACACACATTCACTTGCTCTCCTTACAAAAATTATTCCTAATATTTACTATAACCCTATGTGTCACCATCAGTGTATCATAGCACTGCCATAAAGCCTTGGGTTTATCCATCTACTTACTCTCATGCATGAAACTCTAAATGTGTTTGGTCTTAACTGATTTTGTAACAAATTCACAAAATGTAAATAACGCCTGATCATTGTCTAGCAATTCTCGGGAATAATCGGAGGAAGACGAAGACGAAGACGAAGACGAATCGGAGCATTCTGTCAAGAATTCAACCTTTGGATTAAAATGTGGTGTTAACTTTGAGACCGATTACATTGAGAATAAATATTAAATCCAGTGTCCCAGTTCACACAGACAAAACTGGGTGGTACCCCGAGTTACTTAATATAAAATTATAAACAACGAAGACAAGCTAAGTCCCCACCACATTTGATAAATATAGATGTAAATCTATATGTATCGCTACACACATAAGAATCATTCATTATAACTTTAGGACTAAAACATGAAAAAAGCCGGTTTAGAGATTATTGGTGTAAAGTTGAGTTTATTTTCATTTTCTTTTACCCAGAGCACAACGAGGAACACTGCTCAATTTATATGCAAACACACAAACAAAAACTCAGACATTGTGCTAATTATTTCTCCATCTCTCTGCTTTAACATTTTTTTTCTTTGCTATAACTTTTCAATAAGTTAGTGTAAATGTAACGGTAACGCAAAGACATGATAATTATCCAAAAGTGGTTAAAAATTCACTTCCTTTGTCAATTTGCATCTTAATGCAAGAAATTAGATTAGAAATGTATTTTTCCATTTAAACACCTACATTTATCCCACTCCCCCATTCAATCAAATGTTTTCTGGAACACGTTTTAATGCTGAAGTGTTACTGGTGATACACACCACACCTTTCCTGTGTCTGGTTTCTCTTTTATTCTAAAGTCATTCAAAATCCTAATTGCAGTCCGAAATTCATCATATTCATATTTCTCCAAATGTTATGATTAGGCAAACACAGTTTTCCTCAGACAAATTACCAATCCTGTCCTTGCTCACCATTCTGTTAAATCTTCCAGAGATCTTTGTTGTTGCCTTTTCTTATTCGCCAACCTAAAAGCTGAAAATGGTTCTTCTTTGTCCCTTGTTTTGCCTCATCATGTATTTTTAACATGAATTCATATTTAAACTCAACATAAAGATCATAAAGAGATATTTTAATTAGGCAATTTCTCCATTTTATGTTTAAATCAGCCCTTGGACCTTTGTTTGACTGTCCTTTAAAGTCAAATTTTATCATATTTCTGTTCAAGCTTAATGTTTGAAATTGCACACTAATCAAGAACTTCACTCATTCATTATTTTACCACTTATTCATCAGTAGTGACACCAGGAGATGGTGCCTAACTCCAACTTTCATCTGGTGAGAGACGGGGACATCCTGGACAAGAGTGGTTCTAGGGGCGGGGCTACAGGCATCAGCCCCTGCTGAAATCTGAGGCCTAGTCCACACGTAGCCAGATTTTTTTTAAAAACGAATATCCGCCCCTCCAAAAACTTGCATCCACACCACCTCGTTTAAAACAAAAACTCTGTCCACACGTACCCGGATAAATACGTTGTTAAGGACATGCCAGACCTGTAGGCGACAGTACTTCCCCCGTTCTTAACCTCGTCCTTCGTCTGTGGTCTTCCACAAGGAGCAGTAATTCCGCTTGCAAAAACAAACAAGCAAACAGCGCTTGGACAATTGATAAAGCGAGCGCAGCTCTGAGGGCATCCATGCTGTCGGCTAGTGTAAACACAGGTCGCACACGTGATGTCAGCATTTTTTTGTCGCAGAAAGTGACGTTGCAGACTTTAAACCTCTGGTTTTGTCTGTCCACACGCAGACACCCAAAACGGAGAAAACGCAGATCTTCACTTTGGCCGGAGTTTTTAAAAAGATCCATTTTCGTGTGAAAAAAGTCTGTTTTCGTGTGGATGACAGGCCAAAACGTAGAAAAATATCTACGTTTTGGCAGATCCCCGGCTACGTGTGGACAGGGCCTGAGTGGATCCCTGAAGTGCCCCTGTCCTTTGACTCATCTGTCCTTTGCACGATGACTAGATTATAGGTGGATGCAATTCCAAGTCTAAACAACATTAGTGGCACTAATGCTCCGTATAGTAATTTCTAGTGTGAAATTGTGTGCAAGATGTTGTACTAATAAGCCACTTTCACATCTGGGTCAGTACGGTCGGGGCTGAGTGGCGTTGGTTAAGGCTCGTATGGATGGCGCAAAAGTTGAACAAAAAAAAGTCTGTGGTGTCCTCTCCAATAAGATAAACAAAAGCAGGTGTGGGTTGTGTTGCTTTTGGAGACTGAACCACATGTTATTAATATGCTCCTTGTTCTCTCACTGATACTGCTGTGTGTGTCCTCAGTTTACTCCACAGCCTCCAGAATGATAATGAATCGCGCATGCAGGAAGCCCCTGCAGGCTGATTCTACTCGCAAATTGGAGGCGGTAGACTTGAATTTCAGCCGACCAATCGGTCTGTAGTGTCACTTCAGTCCCAGTCGGTCTGCCAAGCAAGAGGGGTGAAAAAAAGAGTCACCTCAGAAAAGAAACACACATATTACCCAGATGTGAAAGTGGCTATACTTGGCCCCTTGATGGCCCATAGTCAGAAAAGTGCTAGATCCACCACTGCTTCAGTCTTTAGTGTTTTTTTAGTCTGTGGGAGGAAACTAGAGCACCAGGAGAAAACCCATGCATGCATGAGAGAACATGCTCCATGCAGAAGGCTGCAGCTGGGATTTGTACCTGCAACCTTCTTGCTGCGTGGCAACAGCGCTCCATCATGCAGCCCTGATCAGAAACTTTATCAACAAAAACATCCCAGAGTGTGTGAAGTATATACTCCGTATTAATGATCCAGTAAACTATTATATATGCCAGTCATAAAAATCCAACGATGCACTATCCGTGATTAACATCATTTGTGTCATGTACTTAGACATATGCTTTAATTCTTTATTCAAACAACATCCTTAAAATACTCTATTATAGACTTTATCCTCAAAATTTACACTTATTCAAATACTTTCTGATTTCAGCTAAATATCCATGTCCTTCCGCTTCTGCACCAGGTGGGTGGGACTGCTTCACAGGTGTGTGCACGCGCTTATAGCAGCTGCGTCAACCGCCGTTACGTAAAGAAAAACACTGAACTGGTGAGGTAGGTCCTCACCTACACTGCTGAGGAACATGGTGAAGTACATGACTCGGATTGACCTCCACCGGCTCCTGTAGTCCCCATCCTGGAAGTCATCACTACGACAAGACAAAAAAGTAAACATCTCAGTAGAAACACAAGAAATTGTGATTCACAAACACAGTAGAAACACCTCCCTCCTGATAGTCCAAACTCACCTGTTTGCATCGTCACGGAGAAGCGGAGTGGTGACGTCCGAATCAAGATGGGACATTTTAAATAAAGCAGCAGTCCAGGTGAACTTTACGGCCCAGTCCTAAGTTGCCATGTAGCCGAGGGTCAGTGAACTTCACTGCTAAAGAGCTAAGAACCAGAACTCTCTCGTTTCCGTACCGCTCCTGAAAGCTAACTCTAGTGTCAGCTAGCGCCAATCAAAAAACTTTTTACAAGACAACATGTTCGTTGGCCCGAAAAATCTTACATACAATGTTTACCGAGGTTGTTGCCATCTGACGTCCAAGTGAATAAACGTTGTAAACACCCGAAAAGCCCACAAAACTGGACTGATACCAGTCAGTGGCAGTTTTTACTGTCAAGTAAAATGTGTCAAAGTGATTTCCGGTTTACTTTTTCAAAATAAAACTAATGAATTTGTATTTTTCCAAAAATTATTTGTCCAGAGTAATATTTTTTAGCATAATTAAAAGAATACGTATTAAAATGGAAAACAGAATGGTTTATTAACAATATATGTTAGCGTTTTTTGTACATGTTTCAGTACTTGCTTTTATTTTTAAACCAACATGGCACGATATCCAGGTTCTGCTTTAACTCTCCCATGAAACTTGACAGTTGCATGCTTGTCACGTGATAGTATAACCACGCAGTACATGCGGCTCTGACTTGATTTTTGTACTAATAATTTTAAAAAGCTTTCAGGTCTGTACTGAGCCAACTTTGAAAGCACTAACTTATTACTGACCTAGGCTGCTCATTTAACAGTAACATAAGTAATATATTTACAGTGAAATATTCCCTAAACCAGGGGTGTCAAACTCATTTTAGCTCAGGGGCCACATTGAGGGAAATCTAGTCCCAAGTGGGCCAGACCGGTAAATTAAAAACAACTTCAGATTGTTTTCTTTGTTTTAATACAATCAATATAAAACAAGGCTGGAGCCTGAGGACAGTGTATTCAAAATAGTACAAGTACAACACCTGAAGTGTACTTGAAAATTTGAAAAAAAAAATTAAAAATAAATTAAAAAAACATTCCTTAGTGATTCAAAGAGCTTACATATCACATGGCTAGATCAGTTTCATGCAGGACTTAAAGTATATTTGACTCATTTTACTTTACATCTTTTAACTTTCATTAGCCCATCAACATCAGAAGTCACATCCTGAGTAGCAGCCAACTTCAGGATGTGATTCAAGTTCTTGTGTGAGCATTGAGCGCAGCTTTGTTTTATTTTTACTCATTACAGAGAACTTGCTCACAAAGAAGTTTATTTTCACTCTACATTGTAAAGTATGAAAATAAAGTTTACACAACCGTCTCGCAGGCCAGAGTTAACCCGTTTGCAGGCCGGATCTGGCCCGCGGGCCGTATGTTTGACACCCCTGCCCTAAACAGTCTAATGCCTCAATAATGTTGAGAGGAAGGTTGCATTGAGACAGATTTCCTTCTCAGCTGGCTGGGGGTTGCCAGTTTTTCTCCTTTTAAAATGGCCAAAGTCTTTGTTCTGTCTGTCCCACCTTCATGGTTCCAGAGCCAATCAAATATGAGCTTGCAGCAAACACTGCTGCACCAGCATTTGTAATTTGTCACCAGCCGAGCAGGGCCCAGCCAGCCGTTGGACGTTTCTGCTTGGGGTACAGAAACGCCTTAATGGGGGTTACTGTATAACCAATTAGAATGGGCATCAAAAATCATTATTTTCCCTGCCAAGTTTGTCAAAATAAAAGTCTACACTAATTGATCATGTCGCACCGCCATGGCAAAATGAAAGCCGCTGAGAGACAGTCCGAAGTAGAGGAGAAAGTGTGTCCCGCCTTATTGACAGTCTTCCATTTTGAGTTAATTCCTAATATTTGTATAAACTGTGGATAAAGCAGGAGGCGGGACTTAAACGCAGGTTCAGGTTCAAAGAACCTGGAGGGCCGGGTGAGCACATATGATCAATAACTGTGTTTTAAAAAGACAGGGAACAGATTGCTGAGCGGAGAAAATATCTTATTTTGAAACATCGGAGGTGAAGTAACATTTCAGGAGCGAATAAGAAGAAGGGGGCGTTCCCGTTTACAAATCAAAACGCCCCTTTTAGCAGCTGGCCGGATGATATTGCACCTGCCGACAAAGAGCTGCAAAGTAGTAGATGTTAGCCAGAAGTTACTGACTTTACGTACTCCAACTGTGCTCTCAACTACCAAGAGCAGAGAAATGTATAGAGCCACAAGGCATCCAAAAGTCAGTCACAAAGGCACAAACCTAAAGAGAGACATTTACATACGTTCACCAGATCCAACATACATTTGGTGAAAGCCATGAAGGTGTCGACGGTGACCTGGGTGTGAATGTAGCTCCAGGTTAGCCTCGGAGTTGTTTAGCCTTGGACTGCAGTCCTTTGGAAATACACCTTCAAGTTCACCTTTCTCTGCAACAGAGTCAGATTTAGACATCACAGCAGTTACGTATGTCTTTAAATGACTTCTGGTCCAGACACACCCTGGACTTGGTCATCACGTGTGGCCTGTCCACCAGTGTGTCCTCTGTTATTGATTTGGCTGTATCTGATCACTACGGTGTATTTTTTAGCATCACCAGTTTTATCCAGCTGGAACCCTCTGTGAGAACTGTAAGGAAGCGTCATCTCACCCCTGAAGTGGCTGCAGGTTTTCTTGAAGTTTTTAGAAAGATCCCTCCCACTCCGGTAACTGCCTCTTGTGATTTTACTGTCAATGATTTTAACAGTAGACTGAAATTCGCTCTGGACCTGCTCGCTCCACTTAAAATAAAAAGTTTTTATTCAAAACGTGCTTCACCGTGGAGAAATGAAAATCTAAAGAAACTAAAGAGAAATTGCAGGGTTGCAGAGCGGAGATGGAGAAAGAACAAAACAACTATAAATCATCAAATATATACAGAGCTACTTAAATCATATAATAACGCAGTGAGAAATTCAAGACACGCATACCTTTCCAAACTCATTCTAGACAATAAACACAATCCCAGAATCCTTTTTTCCACCATAAACAACATTTTAAACCGTACCTCCAATTCACTCACTCCAAACACCCTAAAATGCACTCTGTGAGGAGTTTGCAGCCCACTTCAAAGGGAAGGTAGACACCATCAGACGGAATATTTTATCCTCCATAAGTAATAAGGTCTTAGATAAATCTGGATGTGTGTCTATACCAGAGGAAACGCTGGACAGCTTTGTCCTGGTAGAAGCTGAGACTCTTAATAAAGTTTTCTCCTCAGTGAGACCCACCACATGTGTTCTGGACCCAATTCCAACTTCATTCTTTAAACAATTTTATGGATCTTTTAGTGATGAGATTTTAACCATGATGAATTGCTCACTTCAGACGGGGGTCTTTCCTGCTGCCTTTAAAAGGGCGGTGGTGAGGCCTCTGTTAAAGAAGAGCAATTTAGATTTTAATGAATTAAACAATTATCGACCGGTATCCAACTTACCATTTTTAAGCAAAATTTTAGAAAAGTTGGTTTTAAATCAACTAAATGATTTTATAAACACTAATAATGTCCTAGAGAAATTTCAGTCTGGTTTTAGGGTGAACCACAGCACTGAGACAGCCCTTCTGAAGATTTTAAATTATTTTAGAGTAAATTATGATAAACAGAAGTTGACAGTGTTGGTCCTACTGGATCTAAGTGCTGCCTTCGATACAGTAGACCACACTATTCTTTTAACTCGTTTACAACAGATCGGCCTCTCTGGTGCTGTACATAGATGGCTCACATCCTACCTCACAGACAGGACTTTCATGGTGAGTTTGGATACCTGTTCCTCTAGGGTCCATGGGATTACATGTGGTGTGCCCCAGGGTTCAATTTTAGGCCCAGTGCTTTTTAATCTTTATATGCTCCCTCTTGGTGGAGTCATCAGGAGACACGGGGTTAACTTTCACAGTTATGCTGATGATACACAGTTGTACATCTCCGTGTCTCCGGATGGCTCTCGGTCAATGGATGCACTTTTTAACTGCATTTTAGACATCGAATCCTGGATGGCAGAGAACTTTCTCCAGCTCAACCAGGACAAAACTGAAGTTTTAGTCATTGGTCCTGAGGCCCAGAGAGAGAAGCTTTTACCGAAATTACAATCTCTGTCTTTTAATCCACCTGAACAAGTGAAGAACCTGGGTGTGATTTTTGACTCTGAGCTGACTTTTATCCCACACATTAAAAATATCACAAAAATAGGTTTTTACCATCTTAAGAATATCGCCAGAGTCCGCCCCATTCTCTCTCGGGCCAATACGGAGACGTTGATGCATGCTTTTATCACCAGTAGGATAGATTACTGCAATGCCCTGCTTTCTGGTCTTCCCAAAAAGAGCATCTCAGGCTTACAAATTCTACAAAATTCGGCAGCACGTGTCCTGATGAAGACCAGGAGGCGGGAGCACATGACACCGGTTTTAGAATCATTGCATTGGCTCCCCGTATGTTTCAGGATCAATTTTAAGGTTCTTCTAATGGTTTTTAAGTGTCTTAACGGTCTTGGGCCTTCTTATCTATCAGAACTGCTTTTACAATATGAACCCTCACGGCCTCTGCGCTCCTCTGGCAGGCGTCTCCTGGTCATCCCTAAAGTCAGGACACAAACTCACGGCGAGGCGTCCTTCCAGTGTTATGGCCCTCACCTCTGGAACGAGCTGCCAGAGGACCTCAGGGCCGCAGAGAACGTTCATGTTTTTAAGTCAAGACTCAAGACCCATCTTTTTAGGTTAGCTTTTATCTAAATATTTTCTACAGTTTTATTTCTCGTTTTACATGATTATATTTTATTACTTGCTTTGCATGTTCTATATAATTATACTTTAGCACAGTTTTATTATTTAAATTATTATTTTACTGTCTATATCATTTTATTTATTACTTATTTTCTAATTTTTGTCATTTATATTAGCTCTTTTATTACATTTTTACTCATTTTAATCCAGTGTTTCCTCTGTAGGGGCCCTCTGCCCCGGGAGCGGTGGTCGACTGCAGCTTCCTGGCGCTCTATAGGTGGGGGTCTATGCTCCCCCTCCACTGAGCGCCCTGACTTAGTGTGGAAGACCTGATGCTGCCGGGACAGACGGCTCCTCTGATGGCGTTTCCTTGCGTTACCATATTTGGCTCATCTGGACTCAGCCTAATATAATTTTTACTTGTGTGTGTGTGTGAGTCTGTGTGTGCGTGTGCTTGCATATGTTTGTTAATGTTTTTAACCTGTTATGGGAATCTGGGGTCATTTTGTAAAGCACTTTGAATCACACTTTGTTTGAAAAGCGCTTTAGAAATAAAATTTGATTGATTGATTGATTGATTGATTGATTGAGAATGTTACAACTTTAACATACTGACATGA